TGTTTTAATGTGAAAATCTAAAACCTCAAATTCCTTCTACTTATATATTCAAATAGTTTCTTTTACTGTGAAAATCTAACACCACAAATCAGTTCTTGTTTGAATACGCCCATTTACGAACTCTTCACGACTGCGTATCTACTTGGGCGGTCGCTCATTTATCTTTCCAATGTCATTACGCATATTTGTTCTTCAATTCAACCAATGGATTTTATTTCTTTATTGATTTCGTATTGATTATTCCGAATGAAAGATTGATTGTCTGTTGACGTAGTATATGGTTTTATTTCTAGTCAAGAACAAGCCATATTTGCGCTAGAAAAAAACATTAGATCGACTTAAATGAAATTAGAATTTTTTTTATTTCATTTCCCTATCATGGGACGTTAAGAGTATCTTTGTTTCGTAACATAAAGGGGTGTTGGGTGTTTTAACGCGTGCTCTATAGATCGTAAGGTATGCCAGTGAGTCAAGTGGTATGGTTTCGATTCCTAGCTTGTAAATGACAAGGAGTAGGGTTGCCTTCCAATCTCGTGGGTTTTTGGAGCCCTGCTTCTACCATTTTTATCCCACAGCTCAAGACTCCTACACGCAAGCGAATTATTGAAATAAAATTGAACCATATGTTAGTCCCCAAATGACCTAATGTCGAGTGGACGCGTAACCCACTTACGGTGGGGATGATTAACGCGTGTGCGCTGCATCATCAATTCTGTCATTGGGTCAAGAGACGTGGTTTCGATTCCCCGCTTGTACGTGACAAGGAGTAAGGTCGACTGTCCAACCTCGTGGGTTTTCTCCGGGTCCTTCGGTTTCCTCGTACTGCTTAAGACCCCTACGCGCAAGCGAATTAATGACATGAAATTGAACAAAATGTTAGCCCCGAAATAACCTAAGAGGGGGACGTTAAGTCTCTCTCTCTCTCTCTCTCTCTCTCTCCAACCTGATTAGTGTATATTGTACTTTAAACCGTACCACCAACATCGGTTGTGATCTTAAACAACTCCTAGAACTAGATTTACAATTATTCCAAGTCAAACATTCTTAGAAATTGATTATATGTCAACTGGTGCAGTCTGGCGTGTAATGAACGTTACTTCAGTTTTCTGCAAATTTCCATTATCATGACACCATTGATGGTATTGTGTTTTGAAAACTTTATTTTATTCCTGTGCGTGGCTGTAATGGCCGCTTTCTGAGATCAAGGATGAAAATTGGACAGCTTTATCGTTCTGGTGGTCAGTCACCTTTAAGATAAGATGGTCGTATTTATAAACAAGATTAGACACGTGTTATGACTTTAAAACTTCAATTCAATTTAATTTTACGCTTTTATTCATTATTCAGATTCCGGGTTTTTTTTTACTTAAATCCGGTTATATTTTCTATTGAAATTTGTGTAAAGGAAATTTGTTTTTCATCCCTTGAAGAAACAATAATATTGATATAGATGTTTACAAAGTAGGAGCGAATACTGAATATCGTTCAAAAAAAGAAATGTATTAAGAAAAATTTAACGTACGTGGGCTTTATTTTGCAACAAAAATAAACAATACCTTTTATTATTTGAAGTATATTCATAAAGGTCAAATCACTTCGGGTTTTTTCTCACAAAGACTCAAAATAGGATTTTCTAAATTGTTTATAAAGATTTGTTTGTGATAATATTATTTTACCATGGTTTGTAAGATCGTACTCTTTCTATCATTGAAGTTTTCCAATTCACGCTGGCTCAGCAACAAAGCGAGAGGGAGAGAGTACTGGGTGCGGTGTTGAACCAGAAAGTGCCTCGGGATTTTCAAGCGTGGATTCGTGGTACTGGGTGGAGTGTCGGGCAAGGACCGGTGTCTAGTCGTCGGAATGAGACAAGCAACCGAGGCCTGCTCGTAAGATTTAGCTCATATTAAACTGCATATGCCCGTCTTCATTATCCCGCCTGGTGCAGAACAGTATGACGTCAGTTTATCTATACTTTATTGTTTTAATCGGTATCCATTTTCATTTAATGTTGGTTAAGTGGGTAAGATGTTGACTCGCTAGCCTGGAGGTCGCGTGTTTGATCCATGCATTGGCCGAGAAAGTTCATCGTGATTTTCCGACGTGGCTTCCCCTTGTCAGTGTTGCAGGACATCGGGCCTGACAAGAACAGCTGTCTATTCATTCGGATGGTACGAAAACCCAAGGTCGCATGTATACATTGGCATGCACGCAAAAGACCCCTTGGCAGTTGAAAGTCGATATAAGAATAGGCCAAAGTGCCGCTGCCCGGGCAAAATTTCCCTCATAGCACACTGTATGGCGTATGCCCGTCTTTATTATATAGCCCAATCGGAGCAGAGCAGCAGGACGTTAAACCCCATTTCATTTTATTTCATTTATATAATGTACAATTTATATTTGTATATTTTTATATACCTGGTTACGGCAAACCTTTGGCCTCACCTGTAAGTTCAAATAATACACAAATAATTGATACAGATGGGGGTTGTATTTGGCATTCTGTCTATTTCGTACATTTTTTTGACAATTACTATTTGTGATTAGTGTCAGTACATCCGGTGAAGATGTAGATCTTGACATTTTAAATTCGTAATTGCCATCTTTTCTATAGCAACTTCATTATATTAGGCCAAACCAAATTGATTTACTGTTCTTCGGTATCTAGAAAACTAAATTGCCACTTGAATCACGTGACAGATGCTTTGTTTAAAATTTCAAAACTTAAAGGGTTGGAAATGAAAGCCTTTAAACAATGCAACCAAGTAGTTTTGTTTTTTAAACATACATTAGGCAAGAGCTAAATCTGCCTATTTCAGATCTTTCTTAAGGTCCCATTTGTTGCTCGACTTCAATTCATAATTTAACCATGAACTGGATGATCGAGACTATGTTTTTTTTATCGTACAGACTTTAGTAATGAAGATCGAGGCTAGGCCGAAATTTCAGTCGCTTAATTCTCGGTTCATAGTGGATCAATTTGACTGATATTTTCAGCAAATTGCCTTTACATTATCTAGTTTTTAACTATTATAGTGAGAACTGTCAGCTGTTTATCTTATCTCCCATAATGTATCTTTAAACGAGTCATTTCCCTCGAAGAAATAAGAAGAAAACCTTTTACAGGTGTCCTCGAAGAACAGTTTCCTCCCACAGCTAAAGACCCTACACGGAAGCGAATTCTGGAAATAATATTGAACCATATGTTAGTCCCGAAATGACCTGGTTTGTGTCGGTAGGACGTTAAATCCCATTTCTCTGTCTTGTTCCCGAAAATCACATTGGTGTGGCCTTACTTGAGGTATGCAACCCCCTACCTGTTTAGTATATATCATAATGTTGGTACTTACACAGTCGTCGAAATGATTAATATACTAGAAAACATGAGATTCTTATATCACAGGTGGGGTAAATTATTTCAGAGTTAAAAGAGAGCCGAGTTAATGATTTCGACGTATTTTATACGCGGGAGTTTTATAAATAATTACACATGTAAAGGCGTGTTATATTATACCTGTGATAATCTAAAAAATACTAATTCTGCTCTAATATGAAATAATAAATTGTTCTTAATAAGTAATGTTTACCTGTGAAAAGAAAATAAAAATATATGTAACTTATATTCAATATGCGAACTTGCATTTCAACGGTCATTCGATTACAAAATACGGTATTAACTTTAAAGAAATATTATGCGAGAGCTAAACTTGCTTATCTTATATCAATTATTATAATACAGACATTTGTGCGCACGGCCATCGGGTGGCTTAGATATTGAGTAGATTAGACAATTCCCGCCATATCTGCATTAAACGGTAAAATCGTCGAATACTGCCACTGAAAGGACTTATTTGCGAAACTTAGTTTAGTTTCAGGGGAATGATACTCACAATCGAGAATCTGAATTGTGACAATTTCTTCTCAAAACTTCAAACATTCATAACTTCAGTCAGAATAAAGTAATTTGAGCGAACTTTGCAATATGTTCGTCATTTCATTATCTACTTTGGACCTGTTATCGCAAGAACGACAAGCCCTCCCTCACGAATAGGAAGATGAAGGATAGTTTTAAACACAATTGCCCCAAAAAGGCGAGGATGATGGCGGATGATTAAAATTTCAGTGCGTGTAGGAAAGGCTTATGCCAGTGTCAGAACTAATTATATACCTTGGCTGGGGGCCCGCCATCTTCAATAGAAGGCTTGATCCCGCTTTAACTCCGTACATCTTATCAAGGCCTTCACGTAATACCCTACAATTTCGGCCTATCAGATTACTCGATCATCGTAAATACCAGGTCTCACGCTTTCCAGCTAAAATGTCTACCTGTGATAATCGAGTCGCAAAGTTCAAAGTTGGTTCAATGTCAAGGTTTCTGTGGAGGTCACTATAGTTGATTTGATTGTCTTAGTGTCACAACTTCTGATTGGACGCTAAAAGAGACAAAACGTAGCTATAAGTTCGGGATTTGAAAAGTAATCTATCAACGTCCTGATGCTGTAAAACTAGCAATCGTTGCTTCAGGAACATGGGGGCCCCTTTTGATGTTGAGGCCCTGGAGTTTCAGTCTGTAAAACCTGCGCGTACATGTATCTTTAAACTTCACGATGCTGTGTGTTTGATTAATTAATGAATTCGATCTTGTACGATTAGTATAAAACTATATTCAAGACCAATACACATTAATTACCTTTATGCAGCAATTGGGTAACCTCAAACATGTTATGATTCTGTTTTAGTTGTAACATATTTATTCACTCTGCACGTGTTTGAATTTGAAAGAAGTTTTATTTCCATGTAATATATTATTATTCCAAACTCATTTTCATCTGTTAATAATGTAAACGAGTTTATAATTTTTAACGAATAGTTCTACATGTAATATTGGTGCTGGGAAATAAATTGACTTATATATATCAAATTAATACTGGCCCAGATGAACAAATACTGGCACCTTTATTACTCTTCATTTAAATAAGAACGGTGAAGTGTGCAATTTGTTTGCGATATTACCGGACGTCAACCCAAGTTTGTAGAGCTGAATACTAATGATTGCACTTAAGGATAGTGGGTTTTCTTTAACGTTATGACCGAAGTCATTTCTAACGACGGGAAAATAGTAGAGGATGGGTAAGTTACATATACTTTAAAATATGAGAGAGAGAGAGAGAGAGAGAGAGAGAGAGAGGGGGGGGTAACTTCCACTCCACAAAAGCTAGGTCATTTCGGGACTAACACATGGTTCAATTTTACGACAATAATTCGCTTGTGCGTAGGGGTCTTTGCCAGTGGGAGGAAACCGGGTTTTAAAATATGTATGATATGTATGTATGATTACATGAAATGAAATGAAATGACGTTTAACGTCCTACTGTTCTCCTCCGACTGGTCTAATGAAGACCGGACATACGCCATGCAGTGTGCTATGAGGGAAATTTTGCCTGGACAGCGGTGCTAAGGCTTACTCTTATACCGAATTAAAACTGCCAGTGGATCGCTGACCATAGGTCTCGGATTCGCTACCGGTGTGGGCAAATACATTTTCTTGGGATTTTCCAGTGTGGTTTTCCATTGTCAGTGGTGCAGGACGGAGGTCCTGGCAAGGAACAGCGTCTTGTCTTTCGGACGGGACAAAAAAAATGAGTTCCCTTGTAAACATTGTCCTACACGTAATGAAACCTTGAGAGTTGGAATTCGAATTCGAGCAAAATTTTCCTCGTAGACCATTGCATGGTCCATGCCTGTCTTTATTAGTCTGAGAGGTGCAGAAGATTATTTCTGTTTCATGCAATTATTCCAGAATAAATAGTAGCTAAGAACGGAAGGTAGTGACGAAAACTTCAGAATGAAGTCGCCCATCTTGAAAAATGGATGTTGGATAAAATTCCAAATGTTAACGGTTGAAGCAGATAGATTATATAAAGAATGTTAACTTAATTGCGTCTGTCACGGAAAAGAATAGAAAAAAAATAACAATTAAAGTAAAAGCAAGAGAAAAACATGTGCTGCACCAAATTCACCAAATTAAAAATGGCGGAATCAAGATCAATAGACAATAGATGTTTGTCTTTGATAACAATGAGTTCCAAAAAAAAAAAGGTCGCTTGTTTTGAAATGATACGTTTATCTAATAAAATGCCTTTAAGCTAATTGTAGAATCAGAGCATCGTGGCTGATCGACTTATGCACATTATCAAAGAGGTTATGGCGCCTTCGGGTTGGTTGCTTTGTAAAAGATTATTGTCTTTAGACCTATTTTTGGGTTTGAAAAGACAACAGGCGCATTATTTAGCATAACACTAAAGCTTAACAAATATATAAGTCAATTGGTTTGTTGTTGAGTCGATGTAATGTTGACTTTAATGATTATAAATTCAAATTCTACAATAAGACAAACATGCTTAATCTTTTAGAGCATGGATGTCAAACATGCGGCCCGCGTTCCAGATCCGTGCCGCCAAGTGTCTAAATGTGGCCAGTGGAACAAATTTCAACATACTGACGTGTCGATAATTCTTAGAACTAGCTGTGGAATTCATTTGTTATTGTTTTCGGGTTTCAGTAAAACTGACTTCTGTACTGTTTGTCCTAGATATCTAAGTTGTATGTAATACAAGAGAACGTTGTCTTCAATATTGTTAATATTAGTATTGTTGAATTTATATAGCGCTTCATTACACATGAGTGTTTCTAAGCGCTTTGGAAACCAGTCTAGGACGTTTGGTTTTGTTTCTAGAATTCAATAAAGTTCAAGGACGTTTGACTTTGTTTTTAGAATTTTTGTTCATCTTCGGCCACTTGATGTAAGATTTTAGTTCATGTGGGCCCTGAATCGAATCGACACACCAATCTTTTAGGGGCATTTAGAAACTGGATAGAGTAATAAACTATACTTATGGAAAACACCTTCTAAGTTTGAGGACGACGTTTTGAAGACCATTCTCTTGTGTGTGTTTGAAATAGTTTTTTGGGGACGCCGTTTCGAAGACTGTTCTCTCGTGTGTGTGAAGTATTGTTATTTAACGTCCGCTATCACCGGAAGTGATATCACCAATCATTGTTTCCATGTACATGTTCGTGTATAAACAGGGTGATTCCAGACTGTAATCAACATTCCTACCTGTCAAATTTAAATCAAACGGTGTTGTTTATAATGTATATTGATTATAGATCAACATCAGGAGAAATAGGTAATTTCACTTGTATCGGCGCTTTTAACAGTATTTTGGTGATATTGGAAATTACCGAATATGGGCTCTATAGTGATGTGTTCCTATAGGAGAGAGAGAGAGAGAGAGAGAGAGAGAGAGAGAGGGAGGGGGAATGGGGTTTAACGTCCACTGGACATAGACTACGTCATTTCGGACTAACACATGGTTTAATTTTATTTCAAGAATTCGCTTGCGCCCAGGGGTCTTTAGCAGTGAGAGTTAACGGCCACTCGACACAAACTAGGTCATTTCGGGTCTAAATTCGCTTTTTTGTAGGGGTTGGACAGTGGGAGGAAAGCTGGGGACCCACGAGGCAGGTCAGACGACCATATCCCTTATCACGTGCAAGCGGGGATTCGAAACCAATCCAGGGTTGAAAGATATGATTGGTTTGATCAGCTATATAATATCATCACCTTCATGTTCCGTGTGGGAGACTTGAACAGTTTTGTGGGCCAAAATGCTTATAACCATTACTATTTGAATAAGTACAAGTATGTAGTAGTTATTAGCACTGGGCCCCTCGACCAAAACTGTCCTGATATTCACCGATACACCTCGGAAAGGTGCTAATAAGTTACTTACATCACATTTCTATCGAGTATTGTGAACCAACATGTGAAAAATAGTATTTATCATCGAGTCGTTTCAACCGAAAAGTGACAAATACTTTCTGCTCTTTCATTATTTATCCCTTTCTGAGCCTCACGTTACATTTCATGGTAGAATGATTTCGCTGTGGAGACACCACCTGAGTAGTATTTACACGTGCGTCTTGCTATGATACTCTGAGCGTAAAACAATCACGTGTTTGTTTACACCACACCGTCAAAACATCTTATCTATGGCGTAGAGGACTGCGATATTATTAAATTTAGTGTAAAGGAAATGCGAAACGTGGGTCATTCCTGGTGAAAGTATGCATCGGCGGATGGTTCTTCCGTTGAAATTTATTTGTAATAAAGTTTATGACTTTCTAGGCGTTTTTTTCATCCTGCTTATTATCAATGCCTGCGAAGTGTCCAGCAAGAGAACTGCGCCTTCTATCATCACAATTAATTAAAATAATTATTCAATATTCTAATATATATATTTTGCATATTAATATAAATCAAACCAAATTATAAAATAGATGCCAATTGATATGTATAATAATTGATTTTTGTAATATGTTGTTATGTTAATTTAATGTCATTGTATATGTTTTTGAACTGCCATGTAGTTCCCCCCATTTTGTTTTGTTACTATGATTTTGACTAGTTGTTTCATGTACATTGGTTACAGCCATCGTCTTCATTTGCGATCTGGATCGGACTAAACGTCCGCTACTGATTGCTTGATAGGTATCTAAAACGGTTTAAAAGTATCCGTGTATCAGAAATGAACAGTGCTCTTTCTGTACATTACTGATACTTTTAAGCATGTAATGCGATTAAACAGGACAGTTTTATCAAAGGTTACCAGTGGCAACGAGTAGAAGTGGGATGTAAATGGTAATACAAGCGTTAGGGTGGCTCAGTGGTTCAGGCGCTGACTCTCTAGTCAGTAGATCTCGTGTTCAATAAAGGAAAGTAACTCAAGAAAATGGGGAATATTTGTATGCTGTCTATACTGTATGGTTTGTTCCATCTGTGTTCTTTGTCCAGTTCTCGTGCTGTGTGCAGTTCTCGTTTATTGTCTTTTTCAGAGAAAGACTTCCGCATGCCAATTTATTATAGATTTGGTACTACATATATAACACAAATGATTTGTAATTATTTTTTATTGCAGAATGTGTGCCAAATAAGCATTCACCGCGTATATACCAATATTATGAGTATGGTTCCAATTAAAAACGTTATCAATATATATTTATTGACTATTCATAGATAGACCCTTAAAATATTATTTTAAACTATATGTGTTAATTATACATTATTTGAATAGTCGCTACGTTACACGCATTGTATCGACATTTCTTGCTAAAGACCCCTACGAGCAAGCGAATTATATAATTGAAATAGAACCATGTTAGACCCGAAATAATCTAGTTTGTGTCAGATAGGCGTTAAGCCCCAAGCCCCAATTTCACCAAGCATTCTCAGACTTAAGTTAAGAATTTACTCAAAATTGTTCGCCTTATTTTAAAGGGCCAATCCCGATAATATTTTGGAGAATAAAACTGCTTAATTTTGTATTAAAATCCCTTAAAATCCTCTGCATTAGGGCCGAGCAACTAACTATATGTGATACGTTTTCAAACAACTTGAACCCGTCTGTCTTCATCTGGAAATGGAGACTGGTGTCACAAAGCTGTATTATGCGGTGTGTGGATAAAACCAGACTTTTATTTTATGAAAATAATGTGTTGGTGAAATTTACCTTTCGTTATCAAGTATAGCACATGGGACATTCACTGTATAAACCTCAAAAGGAAGTGGAATCGATTATCAGGTCACTCATCGAAAAAACTGACCCGAAATCTTAAAAGGGTTACGTGCCCGGATAAGCAGTTTTGATATTCACGTCCAAATACCTCAGTATTTTGAGCTAAAATTTTGAGACGGGGTAAATACACCATTCGTCTATATTTTGGCGTTTAAATTTCATACGTACTCGGATTTTTATTTTTCAGACTCTGTTCAAATCGGGATAGTCCCTTTAACTAAAATATAGTTTATAAAACTTTTGTTGTTTTAATGTATCAAATACATCAATAATAAACTATGTGCAAATTTCTGTGTTTCTGGATCAAAAGATATTTCTCATTAACATTGAATGGAAGTTGAATAAATTCTTAACTTAAACATACATTATGCAAGAGCTAAATCTGCCAATTGCAGATCTTTCTTTAGGCCTGAAATGTTATCTAAATTATTAATTAGACATTAATTAACCTATCCATACCATAATCGCTATCCTGCGATCTTTAGTGGATTG